AGCGGAGATGAGCGGAGATGAGCGGAGAGCGGAGCGAGAGGCGGCGGGGAACGGCGCTGCCGGCCCCCCCCCAACCCCCCCAGCCGCCACCCCAACCCCCCCCAGCCGCCGCCCCCCGCTCACCTCGGCCGTAGCCCTGCGTGTGCTTGGCGAAGCTCCGCACCACCGCCTCCACCGCCTCCCGCAGCACCGCGGGCGGCCCCGAGCCGGGGGGGGGCGGGGCGGAGGCGGCGGGGCCCTGCAGGCCCAGCGGGGGGGGCGGCGGCGGCAGCCCCAGGCCCGGCCCCAGAGCGGCCGGAGGAGGCGGAGCGGCGGCGGCGGCGACGGCGGCGGGAGCCCCGGTGACCCCGGGCCGCAGGGAGCGCAGCGTTCCGCCCACGCCGGGCTGCAGCCGCTGCGCCCGCACCGACTCCATCGTCGCTCTGCGGGGCCGCCGCTGCCAATCAAAGCGCGCGGGGCCAATGGGGGTGGAGATCGCCGCGGAGAGGGGGAGGGGAGAGAGGGAGGTGTCGGCCAATGGGGTGCGCGGAGGGGCCCGAGGGGGCGGGGCGGAGGGAGGGGGACCGATGGCAGCGCGGAGATGCAGGGAGTGGGCGGGGACGAGGGGGGGAGAGGCCCAATCGGAGTTGGGGAACGGCGGGGGGGGGAGAGCTCGCCTCGCCAGCGCCAATCAAAAGTGAGGGACGCGGGAAGAGGGCGGGGCCTCGGGGACGGCGGCCAATTGCAGCGCGGCACTCGCGATAATGGCAAAGAGGATCAAAACGCGAAGCGGCCAAGGCGGGGGTGGGGACGAGACGGCGAGAGGACGGGCGTGAGCCTGGCCAATCGGAGGGCTCCTCACCGGGATTGAGGCGGGGACTGTAGCAATGGCCCAATCGCAGCCTCTGTTTTGATTCTTGGGGGCGTGCCACAGCGCATCCAGCCAATAGGCGCGCGAGAAACGCACGGAGTCAAAAATTTCAGGTTAGGCAAATATTTTCGCGACAGCAGCAAAAAGTTCCTTCACTATTGCGATAATGGGCGCACGCCCCCTATTGGAAAGGGAGAAATTCCGTTATATAACCTTACATAACGGGAGGGTTATCAGTTCGGTAAAGGCCTACGCTACATAAATAACGGGAACTCCAAAATAACGGGAGCTTCCACTGCAGAAACAAACGCGGTCCGCCCCCACGGGAGCCGCCAATGCGGCGGGCGGCGCCGCGCAGCCTCCAGCCACCAGGTGGCGCTCGTCTCTCTTTGACCCAAAGCGACTTCCGGCACGCCGCCGGAAGTGGCGGCGCGCCGCTCCCCGCGATCGGGAGCGCCATGGAGACGTGGGTGCGCTTCAGCGCGCAGAGCCAGGCCAAGGAGCGGCTCTTCAGGTGCGGCGCCGCCCGGCTGCCCCTCCCGGTTTCCCCTCCCGGGGCCCGGCGGCCGCTCGGCGTCCCTCCCCGGGGCCCGAGCCGCGCTCGCCGTCCCCCCGCCCGGACCCGGTCCCCCTCCGGGCCCTGAGGCCGCGCTGTCTCCCGCAGGGCCGCGCAGTACGCGTGCACGTTGGCCGGGGACGCGCTGCGGAGGAACGGGGCGAGCCCCGCACTGCTGAGCAGCGTGAGGCGGCTGGAGGCGCACCTCAGCCTGGGCCGGAAGCGTGAGTGGGCCCGGGCCCAAACCCGGGGTCGGGGGGGNNNNCCCCCCCCCCCCCGCGGGCCGTTCTGATTTCCGCCCCCCCCGTCCCGCAGTGCTGCGCCTCGGCAGCTCGGCCGACGCTCTGGAGGCGGCGAAGAGAGCAATTCACCTGTCCGACATGGTGCTGCGCTTCTGCGTCACCCTCAGCCACCTCAACAGGGCCATGTACTTCGCCTGCGACAACGTCCTGTGGGCGGGGAAGGTGGGGCTGGCGCCCGGCGTGGACCAGGAGAAGTGGGGGCAGAGATCCTTCAGGTGAGGGGTGGGGGGCGGCTGAGCAGCACAGAAGGGGTGGCCAGCAGGGACAGGGAGGGGATCGTCCCCCTCTGCTCTGTTCTTGTGAGCCCCATCTGCAGTACTGCACCCAGGGTGGGGGTCCCAGCACAAGAAAGACAGGGAGCTGTTGGAGAGGGTCCAGAGGAGCCACAGAGATGAGCAGGGCTGCAGCACCTCCCTGCAAAGACAGGCTGAGGGAGCTGGGCTTGTTTAGCATGGAGAAGAGAAGCTGCGGGGTGAATCAGTGCAGCCTTCAGCACCTCAAGGGAGCCTACAGACAGGA